TTTTTTTTTTTTTTTTTTTTTTTTAGGACGGTAGTAACGATGAGTTATTAGCGAAAGATAATAGGCGGATTCTCGTTATTTATGTAATTATGTTTCGTCTCATATAAGCAGTCGAACGAAGGCTGACAGAAACTTCTTCCACTTGAACGCCGTTATCGACGAAATAAACGCAGCTACATTAGGTTTATAGCGATCATACTGTGTATGTCGTGTAAGGATTTTTAAATATTTTCAAACAAAAAAACCGCCAAATTATGTACATACATTACAAATTTGCTAGCGATAGTTTTGGTTGTATGTGTACAGTATAAGTATATAAATTATGAAATTTTAAGGTATCCAAGAGATGTGGATGCACTTGGCGAATGAACAATGAGCGAATGTAAAAATAAATTTATTAGAACATTCTATACTAATTTCATATGATTGAATTGGATGTGAATTCAATTTTGTTCATATTTACTGTGCATGTACATCTTTACAAGATTTAATAACGAAAATTCACATTCGCTATTTGTTCATTTGTTCGGTGTATGCATATCTTAATAAGTATTTGTGTAAATAAGTGAGCAGCGTTCAATTGCTTCGTGAATGGGTGGTCTACGAGATTTTATTTTCATTTATTCGACGAGCCGTCTGTGATTTTTTATTGTGATTTTGTCGATTATTTCGAGATCGACATTTACTACTTTCGGCTACATACTTGTGTGACGTTTTGTTTTAATTATAAGCATTAAATGCTCCTTTTTTTATAAATAACAATTTGGGACGAATGGATTATTGATGTCTGTAAACCTTTGCTTTACATTTTTCTATATTTTTTGACCACCCGTATCACAGAGCGAGAAGAAGATGTCTTTTGTACTGTTCCTCCTTGTGTTTTGTTTGTCATTATTATCACAATGTATGTACGCGAATGAAAAGAAAACAATTCGATGTATATTAATTTCTCGAAATTGCATTATTGCCTTCCATACATATAATTTGTTATAGTGTAATTATGACGGATTGGCGATTTGTCATAGATATTTATATAAACGGATTGGTGATTGCATAGAACAAATTAGAATGCAAAGCTGTAGTATCGGATATGTGCATGATTTTGTAGGAGCAAAAAGTCACAATACTTCCACTGTACATTATCTTCGTGCCGTCTTTTTTTTTTTTTTGCTGTAACATCACAATAAAATATCTTCAACGCTTTATAGTGTTGGAGGCGGAAGAGTGCGATTATCACTATATTAGCTCAAGAAAGTACGTGCGAACATCCGTTGCTTTCTCGACTTGCAAATTTATGTGGCTTTGTATGTGGTTTGACTGAATAATAGACATGTTAGATAATGTGTGGAAAGGGGGAGAGTGCGAGAAGACGTGCGAGAGAAAAAAAGATGTTTCAGTGAAACGACGAGAGTGCATGGAAGCGCGAGAGAGCGAGAGAAACGATTAGAATATTTTTGGAACACATAAAGATGACTAGTACTGTATTATATACCGTATACCTTACCCACCCCCTGCCTCTTCCCCGTACCCCTATGATACTTAGAATACGGATAAAGAACGTCTTGTACAATTCCGCATTGAGAATTTTCACTAAGACGACTTAAAATATAAGTTTTGAATATTTTTTACATAAGCCATACGATTTCTACCCTTCTCTTCTGCGTCGTGCAACATGTCGCGTTGTTGGTGGCATCTTTGAGGTTTTTCCTTTTTTTCGCCTACGATCCGAAGATGAAAACTAATAGTAACATTACATTAATGTTATAATTTTCTACTCAGCAATGTGATTGTTATGTAGTATCTTAGTATACACATGTTACATTTATATTGTTGACTGAGAAATTATGACGTAATATTATTGTCACTCCTGCGTTTTGTGGAGGTCCATACAGCATAAATCATTTTAACAATATTACAGCAATGTTCCAGCAATATTGCAATAATGTTGCTGTAAGCTTTCGTGTTGTATGGAGATTTTAAATGTAAATTTTGAATATATTTTACACAAAAACCATATATGATTTCTATTATTCTCTTCTATATCGTACGATATTACGGTGTTAGTGGCACATTTATGGTCTTCCTTTATTCTTTGTCGCCTGTAATTCGTACCGATTTATTGGAAAACGCAATATGCGAAAAGATCCAACGCTGCCATGAGTAGTGTGTACGACACGAGCGAAATTTCTGAAATTTTTTTTATATAAAATGTTTTTTTACTAAATGTTGTCGAAGATTTTACTCTTATTCATATTGTATTGATTTATTCAGCTTACCATAATTTTCTGGTTGCAAGTTTAAAGTGTTGTCATAAAATATAAAGTGTATCATTGTTAGATATATGTTAAAAGCGTTTGTACAGATTCGAACAATCCACTCGTATTCAGAGTCTAATGGTTTTTTTTCGGACATTTCGTTAATTTTTGCTTTTGTGTTGTCACACGAACGAGAAAACCACAATTTTACTGATTATTGTTCAACATTTTGGATAACAACATAATGTCATTATATTTTCAATTTTCGGTAACGGGGCAATTTCAGAATGCGGAATAATGTGAATTTCTATCAATATATTGATGAACTTAAATTTTAGTTTATAGTTTACTTTTTATCTTTTTTCTTTGATTCTATGAATAATGTCAATATATATATATATATATTAATTTGTATCAACGTATAGATAATTAATTTTAACATATTGGTTTAATACTCTTTATCTTTTCCCAATTTTTAGAAAGTTAATTTTATAATCACAGTATAATTTTTATTTTCTTTACTTAATTAAACTTAAGAGTAAAATCGAAATTAGAAATTGATAGAAACGTGTATAAGACAAAGAAATCAAGAAATTTATTTCTTCTATATCGAAATCGTAAGGATTTCTAGCAAAGTTTACAATATAGCGGCAGTCTTGAAAACAATGGGTGCATTGTTTCGTGTAAATCGAAAGACACTCACCTATCGTACTTTTAGGTTATTGATTCAATTTTATCAGCTTTTGAGATATCCGGCTGACCTCGTTCTTATTCTCGTTCATCATCGCGACTTATCAGCCATCAAATCATCCATTCGCGCGCGCGCGCGCGTTGTATTTAGTCGCATTTCTACGGGAAGTTGAGTATTTCGTCGCACGGCGTCGCTACGGCTGCGCGCGCCTCGTGACGTAATGCGACTAGCGGTCTGAAGTGAGCGGGGGTGGACGGGAAGGTGGGGAGGAGACGGCGGTCTGATGTGTGACCTTGCAGTGTTTGTAAACAGACACACGTTGCCGTCGCGAACTGTTACGGACGATCGCCATCGCGAAGTGCGAGCCACCCTGAACGCGCCTATTCGTATCCGTAGACCGAGGCGTGTTGCGCGCAACGCCATGGAAGTGGAGCCAATGTGTATCGTGGAGAATGAGACGGTGAGTAGCACGATTTTTTGGCGATAACGCGCGCTTGACAATGTGCACGCGCGTGACGCAAACCTGGTGCCATGGGGAAACAGCCACACGGCTCTTGCGTACGCGCACGGCGGGGGATTACACCACATTGTGCAAAGAGGGCGCGCGTCGGATGGATGTGTCGAACGCGCGTTTTCGCGCGTCCGCTGATCGTGACGACACGCGCGAATTGCAATTGTCCCGACATCCCAAAGGCACGAATCGATCGAGATCGTGGGTAGAGAGGGGGGGAGGGAGAGGCGCCGTTTAGCTGATATTTCGTTCATGCGGTCAAGCTGGCGCCTGACTTGGCTTGGCATTCTTCGCGGCAGGTGGCGCCACCGTCGCCGCCGCGCTGCCCGCCAGGCGATGGCGCTGGCTTCGCGTCGGTTGAAATTTGTACCCGCGCCCGCGATTCAAATCGTACGCCATTCGTTTACGGCGCCCACAGTTGTCGCCTTGCGACGGTTTTACGAACGGTTATATTCACGATATTCACATTGGTTCTCGAAATTCGCAAACTATTCTGGACGAGCACTGCAAAATAGAGTGGCGAGCGGATGCGAGTATTTAGTTTCGGTATGTATGTATGTACTTTACGAATGTAGTATCGCTGTCTGACATCTGGCTTGAATCGTGTCGATGTCCAATGGAAACTTTCCACTGCGAATTGCGTTCTAGTTGCTCTGTGATCAATCGAGAACAAGTTATATCCGAGAATTAATTATAGCAAGTGTCGTAACACGTTAAACATTTCGCGCAATCGTTATTAATTTCGTCTCGTATTTCAAAAGATCTTATCGAAGTGCAGCTAGAAAGCGATGGATTTACGATCATCGCCAGGTGTACATACATATTTAAAGAAGTTCGTATTAAATTGAACGCATTTTCTGTGCCTTAAATGGTCCACTCCAATTTTTGTGTTAATTTAACATAAGATGAATATATTATGAAATAATGCAAATATTATGTAAAAAGTTAACTTATGAATAACATTGACACAACTTGTAAACTAAAACTAATTGTAAATTGTGAAAGTTTTATTTTTTCAATGAAATTAGCATTTAATATGTTAAATTTACATATTTTATTTATTTATTTATTACCTTTTACATTATTATTACGTTATTTGTTCATTTACTTATAAAATATTGTTTTAATATTAAGAAATATTGAATATATTTGATGTAAAGTTCTTAAATAACACAATTACATTATGTTAAATTGATACTTGGATATGTTAAAAATTTAACATACAAATTTTAACAAAAATTATTTTTAATACAATTACAAAATATTTTTATTGTACACATACAATTAACTGCGTCGATTGCGTTTTTTTTTTACCTTCTATCGGTAATGTTGGATTTTAAAGACATAATGGATTTTTCGCGATTATGAATTGTTATAGAAATATAGAAAGTACTATAATTTTTTTGAAAATTTTAAGAACACGACACAAGTACTATTTGATGGACAGACTATGAAGTTGAGTTAGTTTACTTTTAGTGAGTGACAAAGTAATTTTTACCTAACTCATTCATAACAATAATTAAAAAATTACTTTTTTTTAATTGTATTACTTTTAATGTAATGGAATAATATATTTTTTTTTGTAGTACATAATGTTAAAGTACATTGTTGATATTATAGCAATAATAATTGTAAACAGAGCTCCTAAACTATAATTATTTTACCATGCAGTACAATTATCACAAATGGAGAAAAACTTTCTGTGTTTCTTAATAGTTTACGAAATCATATTAAACCTTATCTACGCGTTAAATAACTCATGAGTCTATATTTTCTTGAATTTGTATTATATACGAAAATATCCAAGTAAAGCATGGAATACTTTAATAATATTGCAGCAACGTTTCAACGTCACACGTAGTATACTTTATTACAGAATTTCGTATGTGATATTTTTTGAAAACAAAATCTCTTATCATTTCGATTGTGCTTTGCATGTCTTAACTCATTTTTTTTCTTTCAAAAATCAAGCACACACTTATTTCGCTTCATGTGTGAGAAACGCGGGAAACGAACGAATCTTGATATCTCGCGACACAATTGGTTCGTCATCTTTTGATATCTCAATACTCACAGTATTGTATCTCGATATATTTTGAAACACAGTCAGTTACGGAACGCGTTGTGTATCACGAGGATTCGCTTATAAATCACTCCGCATATTTCGTAATTATTACATTCTAAGACCGGATTCACACGTTAGGTCTGTTTTCTGTAGCTGAACTAGTGTTCAAAGAACTTTTAGAACTTAAAGTGAGATAGGTATATGTTTGATATTTGTAGAAAGCGAGAAAGAAAGTTCTAGTTCAGTCTAGTGCAAGAACAGGAAACAGACCACTTCACAAAAAAGCGGAAAGCGGAAAAGCAGTAGTCAATCAGAATTCGCGTTAGTAGTAAGTGGTACAAAACTAACAGAAGGTAAACTACCAGCGCGAGTTCTGATTGGCTACTGCTTTTCCGCTTTTGTGTATGAACCCGATCTAAAAACGAGTTTTGCAAGAATACCCACATCATAAAGGTCCCATTGTCAGCTATTCATCATAACTCGTCATGTTTTTTTTCGCTGCCGAGCGACAAACTTTGTCTTCAGTCGCAGTAGCCATCGGCGGAAGGATCAGACTAGAGATTAAAATTGGATTGGAATTTAACCACATTTAAAACAAGATTCATTAAATTTGAGATTGGTTCTCTTTCGTTTGATTGGTTAAATTAGAATTCAATTACAATTTTAATCTCTAACAGTTTAATCTCTCCCAGCTTTATGAGCCGGTATTCATAGTCAATTCTTATACATATTTAAGGTCGACTTAAGATGTTATTACTTACAGTCTTAAGATGTTATAAACCACTCCCAGAACCGTATTAGCATTTTAAAACATTACTTAAGCTAATATAACATTTGTTCCTAAGAGCTGAAGTCCAGAGTCTTACATGATCTATAACGTATAATGTATAAGAAAATGAATGAATCGAAGTTTTTCATTTGCTTCCTTTTTATGAAATAAAAGACTTTGATTGATTGATTTACTAATGCGTTATGCAAGAATCTGTACTTTTACTCTAAGATAATTAACTATAGGGACGCGTATAATCAGAAGAGCAAGGAATATAGAGAACAAGTATTTTAACTTATTAAAAATTGTGTTCTTCATAATACATAGTTTCTGATTGATTAAAATTTTTAAGTGCGGAGCACATGTAACTTGCATAACGCGTAACACAAGGCATAAGAAACTCAACCAATCAGAATCATTTATTTCATGGAAATGAATGAATACAGACTGTAAGGCCAATAGCGAATCTAATGTTTACAATTTCTTTACTGCTTACGTTTTACTGCTTTACATTTTAGTACAATGTGCCATGGGCTTAAGAGAATCAATCAATTAAAGTTCATCATGAAATTAAAGGAAAAAAAGGAAGGATTCTGATTGGTTGATTCTCTTATGCGTTATGCAAAAATCTGCGTTGCGGCCTTTATGCAAAAGTCTGCTCCCTACTTTATTCAGTGTTCCTTCTTTCCTATTCCTTGGATTGTGCATATGAATATCGGCCATTAGCCGCGATCGGCGCGGCGCGATTCTTCGAGACGCCGCGCGGTGACGCTAGCGTCATCATCGCGCTCATCGTTCGCGAGCCGTCGCGGGCGCGAGCCGCGCGCGTCACGTCCCTGCCTGAGAGCCTTTTGGCCCGTGAACTGCGCAGTTGACAGAGCCCGCACGACGCGTTGCACCGGTGAGTTTTCCCTCCAGATATTTTTCGCGCGGCGCCCGACGTGTCTCCACGCCGGCGTCGCGACGCCGTCGCGCGCGAACATCACGACGCTTTGCTCGCGGCATATCGCGTTTTCGTATTCGCGCCGCGCGCCCGTTTTGTATCACGACGCGAGAAACGCCTTATATGCACACGCGTATGTAACGTTTCGCGGCGCAGCAGCGGGCGCCTTTCCGTTGCCCGTCTGTGTCGGTGTGCCGTCGCGATGCGCGCGTATGCGTGCGCGCGTTCTCGTTCTTCGTCTATCTTTCTCTCTCTCTCTCTCTTTTTCTCTTTCTCTCTCTCTCTCTCGCCTGCTTTCGACGGCGCGGCGCGATGAAACTGGGACACCCGCTCGGGTCCCGTCCGAGACGATCGTAATTCATAAAATGTCGCGACGTTTCCTCCGCCGCGACGCCGACGCGCCGCTCCGCGCAAATGAAACCGGTCGATTTCGGAGCCCGCCGTATCGCGGGCTTTCGCGTCGCCCACCCGCGACGCTACTGCGCAATTCAGCGACGACGCGTGTCACCATCAAAAGTGTGACTTGTGGCCCACGATTTTTAAGCAAATCGCGCTTTTTCGCGCGAAAAGAAAAGAGAGAAGAAAACCACGAGACGTTCACGTACCTGGCACGCCGAGTAATCGCGAGCTATTCTTAGAGCAAGACGATACTGCCACGTATTCGTATTTGACGAGCTTATCTTGCGAAGGGTTTTTGTCGTATAGCTACTTTGTGGATTTTGAATCCAGAACGAATCGAATGGAAATACATGCACGTTGTGCAAAGAGGCACTCGGTCACATTCCAACGGTTAAGTTATATATTTAAAAAAGTTATATTATACCTCGTAGAGGAGCTACAAATGCGATAATTATATGTACTTGTCTAAAAATTACTTATAATTTTAATATAAATTTGTTTGTATTTATACCTCACTTATCGATAAATGCTAGCAATTGTTTCTAAGATTTTATATATAGTAAATTGAATTGTATGTAAATGTGCGCATTTATTGATAATCATAAAAGTGTTAGTATATGCCAATATACCTATATACATTTATTAATATATGTGTATATTGTGTGTATATATATATATATATAATTTTATACCAGAGATGTAATATGTGTTGATTGAATATTGAGAGATTAGAAAAGTAATTATTTAGAAACCTGATTGATTTGAAATTTTTA